TATATGTATGTGTATGTATGTATATATGTATATGTATGTGTATGTATATATATATATATATATATATATATATGTATATATATGTGTGTATGTATGTATGTATATGTATATATATATAAATACTAAAATAAACTACTACTAACTACCTGCTTCGTGGTTTTTCACTTATCGCGAGTCTTAAGGGTACGGATCCCCTGTGTTAAACGAGGGACTACTGTAAACTACTGTTTAAATAAAGGTTGAATGTATGAATGAATGAGTAATCATGTTTTATTAAAAGCAACAGGGCATGTGGTGAAGGCAGCTTTCAGTACTTGGTTGAAGTAGAAAACACACGAGGGAAGATTTTAACGTATTTTTTTAACTTGTTTGTTTGTATTTTGTTGTCTAAGGTGTGTGCTTGGAAACACCACCATCCTGGCAGAGTTTGCCGGGGAGGAGGATATCAACCGCTTCTTTGCACAAGGCCAGTCGCTGGGGGCAAACACCACGAGCTGGCACGCCAACCCGGGAACCAATCAGAATCGAATGGGCGGGGCAACTCAGTCTCACTCAGTCGGCCAGTGGAGCAGCGGGGGCGGGCGGAAGACAAGCGGGAACGATCTGTTGTGGGGTGGTGTGCCCCAGTACTCCAGCCTGTGGGGACCGCCCAGCGGAGAGGATGCACGTGTGATCGGGAGCCCCACCCCCATCAACACGCTGCTGCCTGGAGATCTGCTGAGCGGGGAGTCCATGTAGGATGATGCCACGGTACACTAACCCACCCACCATGTTGTATAAACTGTTGGTGGGGGTGGGATTAAAAAAAAAACTTGAATTGATTTAAAAAATGATCGAAATGAGCAAGAGCAAAACCCAAGCAAATCATGTGGCGATAATCAGTATCAGAATAGTTTGGATTGTGAACTGTAAATCAGAACGCTGAGGGGGTCATGACAGACTGTAGACCCCCAGCCCCCCTGCTTTACTCTTGTCCACTTTGTTTATTTACTTTTTCTCCGTTTAGTATTCTTTAATGCTTCATGTGAACAAACTGAAACTAGGCAAGACGCAGAGAAACCTTTTAGGTGTTTTGAGTTTTGTTTTCCACGTCAGTCTGTGGAGTGTTTTTAAAAGAAGCAATCAAAGCTGCCATGTGAGACTTCAAAAGAACTGAACGAACTAAAATCATACTTCAATCTACCATTCCCAGCATCTTCATGGCCATGACGTTCCAAGACCTCTGCTAGTTTGGTCAACGTTTATTTCTCAGCACTACTATTAGCCTTAAGTGCTCTCTGGCCCAAATCCTTCCCAAGCTAGTTTTTTTTTTTTTTTTAAGTTTCTTTTGTAACTGAAGAATTCGCTGAAATCTTGCACAGTTCACCTCTGAGCCAACAAGTGGTACATGCTGCGTGTCCACCGGGCAGGACAGGCCTGGCCTTTCGACTGGCACTACCAATCATCTGCTCAGACACCTGAACTCATCTCACGGGGGGTTGACACAACTGTTGACTTACACGTGTGAATCCCTGCATTATTACTGTTGTTACTTTTAAATTTACCACGAGATATAAGCTGAGAGCAGATTAGTCGTTGACTTTGCTGCGTGCGTTTCCTCATGGGATCTAATCATCGACTCCTGTGGACCCAGATCCTTCTGGTCACCTTAAGCCTGGACCTCAGTCGCTTACTGGTGCTTTGTTGAATTTTCTAATGTTCATTTTGTTACAAAGCCAACGTGGTCAACCAATTTTCGGAGGACAGAAACTACTCGGTTTTACTTTGATGTGACAGTAACATTGTGCAATATATGCCATCGACCTTTCTTCCGTCCATACTCCATCTGAACTGGTTTCCTTTTGGCTTTTTTTTTTTTTTTTGTGATTGTTTTTAACTAAAGCAAAAGACTTTGGAACTTCAAAAAAAAAAAAAATGGACTTGCCCCTTCTTTCAAAACTTGGGATTCCTTCCAGGCCTCCAGTCCCACTGAAACTGTTGGGAAAACTCTGCAAAGAGGAAGAAGCAGCTGTTGGAGCTGTGCATGCAGCAAATTGTACTGAAAAAGTGACACTGGGTACAACAATGCACACTTCCTCTCTGCGTGCCACAGCCACACCCAACAGAGACTGAAACTGCAGTGGGATCGGATGGCTCTGGGTGTCAGGCACAATACCAAATACGAGGGGTTCCTCCTAATGCAGTAGACCCACGAGTGTTCCTTGCATTTGGTACTGTACAAACAGAAGAGACTTTTATAAATTCAAAGGGTTTGATCATAGCACTTACGAAGAGCAAATCGCTTCAACTGCAATCTAATAAACTGAAAGACTTTGCAAACAGGACAAAACTCCTGCTCTTTAATGTACTGTATCTATTCCGTGGAAATGTGTCTGCCGCTGTTCCTCTGGTAGCAGGACGAAGGGGAAACGACTCAAACGTTCCCTCAGACTTTGGGGCAAAAAAAAAACAAAAAAAATTCAGACTCGTTTTTTCTGCCCTTCTTTGAACTTTATCAAAGTGAATCTCACTGTTATTCCAAAATCATTAGCCTTGTTCTGGTCGGAGGCTAGCAACGTCAGCTGTCTCCGACACTTACTGGAATTTGGTGGTGGGTCACTTGGGGGCGGTGGGGTGTTAAGCCAGAAAGGAGAGGAGAGGATCGAGGAGGGGATAGCGTCCACTGAGTGCCTCATGCTGTGGTCCTCTGGTGTCAGGCAGCAGCCCCGCAGTGCAGAACCTCCTCCGGACAAGTGAAGACTGGCCAATCACGGCCCTCTGCCACACATCTCCAACTGGGAAGGTGATGTTGCTGTACCCCCGCCCCCCCTCCCCATATCTCAGTTCTCTGACACAAAGATCACCTTAGCTGGAAGATGTAATCTCACTTCTGGAGTTTTTCCAGTGTGCTTTGTTTTATTTGACCATTTACCTGTTTTTAATTTGACCTTTTCAGTGTGTTATTTTGTTGTTTTGGTCTACAAAATACTGGCTGCTGAACCTTCACTGTTCATATGCAGAAACACTTTGATCAGAGGTGCCTCTGTATCTACATCCTGTGTATTAAATGCAAAACGAGGATTAATACTATTGACCGTTATTGATTGTCGATTGTTGTTAAAACTGCTCATGCTTTTGTGTTTGACAGTATTCATTAGTACCTCCAGGTAGTATGGTGAGGTGTGTAAAAAGAAGGGGTCTCAGATGTGGAGGGGTGTGGATGTTTGCCGCTCCAAGCTGCTCCGCCTGTCCACAGGCTGCCCCCTGCCCTCTCGCCCTCTGCCTGGCTGCTACGCTGTAAACCCCTCCTTCACCTCTACCAGACCCAGTAGCCCTCCCCTGACCAGGCCCTCGAATACATTTCTATGCAAAAAGAAACAGAAGCTGAGGTTGCTTTTTTACAGCACGCCAAACCTGAATTTGTCCCCTGTAAGTTTCTGTCAGCACTTCAAAAAGGCCACAGTGTCCATAAGGTCCGATTAAAATAGGTTGGACTTCTCTCTGTGCTGAAGACACTTCCGTCCAGCTTGATCTCAGGGTAAGGGAGTTCATGACAGTAAGTAGGGTATACAGCTCTCCACATCAGTCCTCTCTTGGGAGAGCCAAGAAAAATGGAAAGTTTATCTGTAGCTGAGTCCCTGTTGGAAGGGAGAAGCACGCAATGAACTGTTGTCCAAACGTGGCCTACCGTTACCGTTTGGGGGACTTGAGTGCTTTTAAGAGCTGCCAATGTGTTGTGCCAATACGAATCACCTGTGTCATAGTGAATCTAGTTGTTTTACTGATTTGGAGGCACATTGATAACCTCAGCAGAGGGTGCAGACGCTGCAGATAGGAGGGATCAAACTAAAGAGCGGCAGCATCCCAGCCACCCACCGAAGACTGAGATTTCTTTTCTTTTCCTTTATGCTTTTGTGGGGAACGCCCCGTGCTGAGGAGAAAATCCTCACCGAGTTTGGGGGTTCCAGTTTGCTACAGTGCACAGTTGATGATGGGTAATCCCGGGTACATATTTTTTTAAAACCAAAAATGAAATTGCATTTTATCGTCATTTTTATGAAGTTTGACATAAAAATCTTGAAAAATGCTAAAAAATCTAAATGAAGAAAAAAAATTATAATATGGTGAAAACTCTGCACTTCTAGCTGAAACGTATCCGGCCGTCAGCATCTGCCACTGCCATCTGAAAGGGGTGGAAGTGGCGGCCGGGACTCCGTTTTGTTGATGCTGTATTTATCTTGTTTTTGTGTTTCCTGTCCTGCTCAAAGCAGGCCCATTGAACTGTACATTTCCACACACCCAGATGGCTTTGGTGCCCTCTGTATCAGCCTCGCTCTCTCTCGTTCTGCAGCAGCAGGGGGGAGAGGCACATTTCAAGAGGTACAAAGTCTTAAAAAACAAGAAAAAAAGGAAATGGGAAACGGCTACCTTTCAGGACTTAGAGTCCTGCAGCACACAAGCAAAAATCACTATTGCCTGTTTCTGTAACTGCCTTGTTCCGAGCTCAGACAGACCCAATAGCCGAGGACCTCCCAGTATCCTGAACTAACTGGAGAACCCTGACAGCGAAGGGGGTTTCCCATGCTGCACCAGCATCGAGAGGCTCTCCTCTCCACAGCTCTGTTCTAGATACCAGTAGATATGTATTCACAACACACACATGCACGTGTGTGCATGTACATGATATACTGTGAGCACCATGTGTGGTATCACCTCTTCAAACTTCTTGGATTGTAACCTCTGAAGTTTTTTTTTTTTTTTTTTTTTTTTTTTTTTTTTTTTTTT